ACTCCATTTCCCATTGAAAAGGGAGTATTTGTTCATTTCACAGTATTTATAGCTCATTACATTTCTATTGGGTTTTGCTTTTATGAATGTTCTTTGGGGTAATTACATTTCCAATACATCAATCAAATGCAACTGTTTTTATTCTTGAATTGTAACTTTTACTCATGAACTAATTCCTAAATGGGGAGAGAAGACAGACAGACAGACCGATATAATGCTCCTTCATCCAAAGATGTTGTGCCACTCTGAATCAGCTCCGGCTCTCTGTTCTCACTCATTTGGAGCCTTGAATCAGGGTTTTGCCCGCTCTGCAATGGTTCAGCAAAATCAGAGCTAAAGCTGGTATCAGGTATTGTTTTAAAAAGCTCATTGTCTCATTGGTGGGAAATCTACTTCAACCTGGCTGAACAGTATCTGCCTCAACAGCAGTAACTGTGAGAGGATCTAGAGGTCCTACTGGACAACCACTTAAGTATAAGCCAGCAATGTGTGGCAGTTGCCAAAAAAGCCAGTGCAATCTTAGGCTGTATCAACAGGGGGATAGAAATGTTAGTACCATTTTATATTGCATTGGTAAGGCCACATTTGGAATATTGTTATAGGAGATGATCATGCTGAGCCAGAGAGAAGGGTCAAGCATATCATCAGTTTGAGTTCCTTCAGGCTGAACATCTAGTGGATCCACATTTAAGTCCAGTCCACTTTGAATTCTGTTGACCCTTATCTAACGCCAGATTTGAACAGCCTTGGCTCTTGATTTCCTGTGCTTGACAACTGTGTCCACACAGTTGTCAAGTTTGGTCACCACAATATAAAAAAGTTGCATGAGATTCTATAGAATGTAGGGTCACAGAAAAGAAGGGCTGACCTATTCTTCAAGCACCTGAGGGCAGGACAAGAAGTAACAGATGGGAGATTATCAAAGAGAGACCCAACCTAGAAAACACTAGAAAACCCCTGAAGTCCCTTTCAATTGTATTCTGCCTCCTACTGGCACCTATCAGCAATTTTTAGGTACTTTGCTAAATCAGTGGCACACAACTCACTCTTCTGCCACACTTTGTTCTATCAAACTTCTATTAAATCTGGATTCAATGCTTCCTTCCACACAATTCCACACTGGTTACCGATCAGTCTCCGGATACGCTTCAAGGTGCTAGTCGTAACTTATAAAGCCCTTCATGGTATTGGATCTGGGTACTTGAGAGACCGCCTGCTGCCAATTACCTCCCACAGACCCATTAGATCTCACAGGGTTGGCCTCCTCCGGGTGCCATCTACCAGCCAATGCCATCTGGCTATTACTCGGGGGAGGGCCTTCTCTGTGGCAGCTCCAGCCCTCTGGAATGAACTCCCCGCAGGGATTCGGACCCTCACCTCTCTCCAGGCCTTCCGAAAAGCCGTCAAAACCTGGCTTTGCCGGCAGGCCTGGGGGTGATGAGTTCCCTCCCCTCTCGACATGTATGGTTGTGCAACTGTTGTCTACTTTTATTATTTGTATTTTGTCTTTTTATGTTCCCCTTTTTTTCCCCCTTGAATTGTTCGCCACCCTGAGTCCTCCCAGAGAAGGGCAGCATACAAATAATAAAATAAAATACAATACAATACAATACAAGACAGGAGAAGGGAGGATTATATCCTAGTTCAATAGAAGTTTGGATAGAATAAATGTTGGGTGTCTGGGAGGGGTTTACAAAGTGTTATCAGTTTGTTAAACTCAGCCCATGAGTTTGATTTGTCCTCTAAGTAATTTATATGAATCACAACTTTTGATAAAACCTTTACTAACCTTAATATATTCCAGAGGTTTTAGTGCTGAGTAAAATTAGGACAATCCCCACTCCCTAATGAATTAATGTTGGAATTAAGAACCAGAGAGACGAGAGCGAGAGAAGGGAATGAAATCTATAGAGTGGCAAAATAGATTACTGCTAATTCACCAGAAGAGTGCATTGAACAACAAGCATTTCTATATTCTTTGTTTCCTTATGGTGGTTGTTTTTTTGTTTTTTTTGCAATTAATAGAGTATATATACTTTCATATTCCAACTAGCACAAGAAACAAGTTGCGTTCTGGAATATGGGTCAAGTATTGGTGTGCCCATACCTATACATTTACTTTGGCAATTGTCAAAAATACTGAACTTGATTCTGAACATTTTAAATAATATATAAATTTTACCTTGAATATTACACTGAGAATACCACATGTGAGTTGTCTTTTGAGCAACTTCCTCAGTAAATCTATTGTGTTATAAACTATGTTTTGAAGGGCAACCTACTACATTGTTACAACAGTAATAATATTCCCCCAGAAAATCAGCAAATAAATCTGCCACACGTAAGCCTTTTCTCTCAGCTTGCATTTGAGCTATATAATCCCCCCTCCCCCCAAATACATATGAATTTTATGAGATTCTCCTAGATTTGAATGATCAATAGAAATGGAGTTCCTTTTTGGGAGTTATGGGTGTTCTGTGGTAAAAGGAAGACATGATACCCCTTTATACCCATTTTTATAACGGAGGAATTTTCTATTGCTTAATCTGATGGAAATATACATTGACATAACACATGACAGGAGTCAAAGTTAGATCTGGCACATTTTTCAAAGTGAAAAGAAGTTTCTCATTTGCACAAGATAATTAATTAGACTGTATGACATTTAAATTTGGCCAGCAGTAAGCATTCCAGCTGTATTAAACAATGACAACAATAAAAACATATAGATAGCAATAAAGGATTTACACTGATCTAAAACAAGCCAAGTGACAATTCTGTGCTGACTTAATGGAATGAATACACACAAAGAAATTGTATTGCTATTCTTTGCTATAGAAAATACCATTTTACAAAGCTGTTTTCTACTTAATTAAGCTTGAACCCATTGTTACTTGTAAATTCCAGATGCAAACAATAAATGATTATTTACTGAGAAAAAGAATTGGCATGGCAAATGTTCATTGTATAATGACAGCATTCTGTAAAATTTTGACTACAAGTGTAAACTGTGACAGTGCAACTAGTTATTTAACTTGCAAATCCCTATGTGCCCTTCACTCAGGTTGCAGAGGGACAGAGGAAGTGACTACTGCAGCTTTAATACAGCAACTTGGCTGTTAAAGCACTTAAATGTCACCTTGTCCCTGAGGTGTGCTTAGATCGGCTATCGGAAAGTAAAGCCGGAATCACAATACTTTTGCTTTTAATAAAAGAGATGCCCTTATACACCCAAACTCTGTAAAATGAAACAACACTGAACTGATCATGAAAACTCTGTTCTGTTCCTATGCTTTGTACTTATCAGATTTTCTGATGATCAGAATTACATTGGGTGGTTATTAATATGTACTGAGAGACAAAAATCAAAATTATTTTTAAAGGTTAAGAAAGTGGTCTCAAAAGAAAAAATGAAGTTTATGGAGACAGATTCAGAATTCTTCACTTAGGAGAAGAAATCAAATGCACAAGGGGATAATTGCTATATAAAGGCATATGTAAAAAAAGAATCTGTAGTTGATCACAAGCTTTAATATAGGTCAGCAATGTGAATAGATGTGAAAAAAGACAAACACAAATTTAAGATGCGTTAATAGACATTTAGTTTTTTAATCATAGCAAATAATTGCATCATACAGTATCTTTTGGCATAACACAACAGTGTGACTTCAGTCATCTTCAATAGACATTAACACCCTACACTATCAGGCTTTAATACAGTGATATTATGGAGAAAACTTTAGCTTTTTACTGAAGCTAATGGTTATTGGGAAGCTGGATTGAACCACCAGATAATTCTATGATTTGCCAGGTAGAGTCAGATTATATCATGGGAAGAATAAAATGGAAAAGCAACAGTTATTCCCAAAAAGTATCTTTCACTTGTCCTCAAAAGTTTATAAAATTGTGAGGATATTGCCTGAGAGGAAGAACAAATCTGAAGGACCAAGAAGGGCCTGCACAACTACATTCTAACAGAAGATTTAGATAATCTTCCTTAAACCTGCATTTTTGCAATGCCATCCAAACATGTTTGAAATCTTAAAATATTATTTAAGATGACAATATCCAACTATTTTTTCTTTGGGATTCTGACTATATGATAGTTGCCTTCTATTGTTACTATTATATTATTTAAATGATTTATAGGGAATAGGGAAGCCTTGTACAATGGGCTAAGAACCATCCACTAGATCAGATGCAACATCACAAGATTCAGCCTGGACAGCAGCCTTTGTAAAGCCTTGGATAAAGCTATTCACTAGTGATACTTAAATTAGATTCCTAACAGCTCATAACACAAAGAGAATGGGCACATTTACCTGTTCATTGTTTCAGAGTGAAAGACACACTCTGGTAAAGTTTCAGGAAAGTATTTTAGCTGAATATTAGGGGGGGGGATTCATAATAGTAAAATGGTTTGATAGTGATACTAATCAATTAGGGAAATTGTAGACATTATTTCTGTGGAAGTATTAAAATAGAAACTGGATAGCTACTCACTAGGATATTTTAATTCAATTTCATGGACAAAGCAGGGGATTCTAGTAAGTACCCATATTATGCCCAAAGGGGACATATAATATATGGGATTCTAAAGCTATACAATGTTTCCAAGGGTTTTTTTTTTAGTTAGAAAAACATAGCAATGCAACCTCCCACAGAGAACTTTCATTGGCATTCACCAGCCTTTAATGTCTGTCCTACCCAAGTAATGTAAGAAAGGGCATTAACTTTCCCAACAGATGAGTATGAAACTGGCTGAAAGACTGTGATGTGCTGATAAACTTTTTCATTTGTATCAAGTTTTCTTAGCAGTACTTTTGACCTTTCAATGTATGAACGCATGCTTTCAATTCACTTTTTAATTTTTAACATGACAGAACTGAATCATTCTTACAGTTATGTCCAAATTATGCTTAGAGACAGTGCCCAATTCCATATCTATTAGTCTATTGGTGTATTTCTATAAGGTTAAAAAAAGAAAAGAAAACACATACCCAGCCATAACAATGAAGAAATCTAGGCGGTTCCAGGTATCTCCAAGGTAGCATTTCTTGCCAAATATCCCCAGGGCCACCATCTTCAGCACCATTTCCATAGCAAAGAAGATAAAAATGAAGTCATCAAACACCTAAAATGTCCATAAGAAAAAAGATGCAGATTTAAATGAATTTTAACCATTATTTTGAATAGGCATATGAAATACATAAACAAGATTTTCTCTATATATTTTCTATATATTTTCTATACATTGTTTAAGATAATGTTTGAAGACCCTTTTGTAGGCACTGCCACCCACAAAGATGTTGCAGATGTCTTACAGAGAAAGGAACCAATTCTAGTATGTTCACCAATCCTTCCACTGAACACTGTTTCTAGAAATGTCTACCTGATCCCTTAACAAATAATAGACTAGGCTGAAATCTTTGGTGTTTTTTTTAGCTATCTGACATAATCTTTAAACATTTTTTTGTTTTAATCTATTGTTTATTGATTGTTTTTTATTTTTATATTTGTAATTCAGTCCAACAACTTTTGCTATTTAGAATGTATCAAACAGTCTACAGTTAGTCCCTGCATAATGCCTACTTTTTCAGTGATTGTTTGAAGTTACAATGAATGAGGGGTCCCAAGCTAGATGAGGAAGAAGATAAGAGACCATATTTCAAGTAGGTTAGAACAATAGTCTTCAGCCTTTTGGGTACCAGGGACCAGGTGTATGGAGAGAGATTTTTTCACAGAAAGGAGGGGGTTTGTTTTCATGTGCTGCCTGCATCCTGCAGATGGGGCTTTGCTTGTTGTGCAGCCCAGTTTGTGGCATGCTGTGGACTTGTGACAGCCCATAGACCATGGGCTGGAGCCGCCTAGGTTAGAGGTTTACAGTTTTAGTTTGGCAAGTTTCTGTCCATTAGATATAAGTAAATAAAGGATTGGACTCATTTGTATTTTATTGTATTGCCTTTGGGCTTGAGCCTGACATCAGGCTGAGTGAACAGCTAATATAAAGATTTGGTGATCGTTGCATTTACTTCATAAACAAAAGCATCTCTCATCTCTTTCACATTGCTTTACAGGAATGTTGCCCTATTATTCATAGCAAGCCACTTCAGCTCAGTAATATTTGAGAGTTTTTAAAATAGGAACTTCTGGCTTTAGGTATTGCCAAATCATTTGTATGTGGTTTGACTCTAAAATGCCAATCTTCAACCTGGCCATGCCAAAAATGCTGAATTTTTTAAAAAAAATCCATTCTCTGTACATGAGCTCGTACACTTAGAATCTTGCTGTAGCATGTACCCCCATGCACTTTAAAAGATGGACAGAAATGGGACAGCAAAATATCCCCAACAAGTAAACTTCCATCTCCTCTTTGTACATGGTATGAAGTTCTTATTGTGGAATGCAATGTATATTTTTTCCAGACAAAATGCATTCCACAGAAACGGAAACATTCCATTTTTGACTTTAATATCCATAGAATATTCTTCCAGACATCTGAAAGTTTATCCAGGTAATTTTTGACAAACTTGAAATGAGTATCAACATTTTTCTTAGTGAAGAAGGACTTGCTACTCTCCCAGTAATTTTATGATGATGGTCTCATGAACGTAATTACTTTAGCCAAGGCAATAGAGACCTGCAGATCAGTATATGTTGTTCAATAGTTCTGTGTGACTTTCTGAATGTATTTATGTACTTTATATATATAGTCTTTATTATTGAAGACTCTGGGAATCAATCAAAATTATGTTGATTTTGATAGGTCATCCGCTCTTGGGAAGATTTATCTTGTTTCAAATCCTCTCAATTTCTATGTCTCACTTTGGGTTGATGGAGTTTTAGAAATGGTTTTATAATCTTTTTTAGAAGTATCAGCCACTTTTTAATGAAAACTTTTTAGAAATTTATTTTGGCTTTGTTTATGAAACAAGTGAACAAGCATCCCACTTTGGTGCTATTTGCTGTCTCAATACTCCATATATCAGCAGGATACACAAAAAGCTCTAATAAATACCTGACAGAGATATTCACATTTGGAAAAACTGAAAGGGAATGAGTACTTTTTCAAAGTCCCAATAATATAGTCTAACGTTATATGAGGAAACACAGAAGCAGGTGTATGAATAGCTAGAATAGCAAGTTTGACATTTTGACAGATTATTTAAAAAGTGCTGGCTTGCTATGGGCCTTATTTCTACATGACTTTGCTGATGACTTTAGTTCACATAACATAGTTATGGAATATATATGTCAAGATATCAAACAGAAGGTCACATATTGCCATTATAGAAAGGGAGCTACTTACTTGCAAAATTTTACATCTGTTGGAGAGGCAATCCATATCATCACAGGGTTGATACATTCCAAGTGTGACACAGTTTAGTAGGATTACCATCATGCTGAGACATTCAAACCAGGTGGAAGGAAGAAATAAAGTCAAGGAAGAAATAACTCATTTTCCAACATTATAATTAACCATCAGGTATACTAGAGTGGAAATTTTTGTTTTTTAAAAAACTATCAGAATGTACAATAGTAAGCAATAGAATCATAGCAACACAATGCATAAACAGTAGATAATTGAGATAATAGAACTGCTCTTAGATCATACCATTAGACTGCAGGTGAGAAAATCATATGATAGCATATTCCTTCATAGATAGAATAAAAAAAATCAATCATGTACAAAATATATTCTTATAGATGAAAGAAATAGTTCTATGGAAAAAAGTTTCAGTTCTGGATACAAGCTAAGGTAGTATCACCTGAGAAGAATTTTATTACTGAATAAGTTGTTTACATAAGTTATTTTGTCTGCTACTCTAAAATGACCAAATCACTGCTTTCGTGAAGATGGTAGTAAGGATTTTGACACAAATAATGCAAAACATGGTCTAGTATAAATGTTCAACAAATATTTATCTATGAGATATCTTTAGGAATCTCTTCTAACTCCATGCACATCAGTGCATTCACACAGACACAATATTTTTATCATTACATTCTGAATAAATCACTTTAAATGTACTGCAACAGAATAAGGTTAAATAAGCAGAATTCATTTTTATTAACATTTATAACAGGTAACATGGAAAACAAATAGCATTGTTTTCATTATAACTTATCTTTCTTGTCCTTAATTATAACTATCCTTCTTATTCACATTTGTTTTAGTTGGCTATGTAAAAATAGCTAGCAATGCCTTCAGAGCAACTAATATAAATATATACTTTTGTATTAATTTGCTTGTCTTATTTTTTCCAAAAATAAGATCATCGTTACCAGTCTTGTAAAACTATCTCATCTTACTCTCCTGATGAATTATGCACTAGTACTGTATATCCCTGATTGAGATACTTTTTTTAAAAAAAAACAGCATCCTTCTAACAGTGCTTCATTTTTTTCTGCAAGAGTTCATCTAACATAGATAAGAAAAATATTGCTGGGACAAAACAAAGCTCTATGTAGGTTCCAAGTTTGGTAAGATGGCTATAGAAAATCCATAAGCAAAATATAAAGAAAATAACCTTAATAATAATAAACTCTACACTAATCCCCCAAGGATTAAAATTTAGAGACCTATCACTTCTGATCATTTATTGAAGGTGGCTTATAAATATCATGACCAGTACCTACTGTGATACTTATTTTTTCATGAATATGTCTCACAACCTTTAAATAAGATTTAAAGTGGTCATTAACGAACCCTGTAGCAATGAATATCAACTGTTGTCATGCCCAGGTCTCAACAGTCCTCCTCAATTGAGGAAGATGACAAGATGAGGGTTTCCCAAAAACAGGTCTATGCTTCCATTCTTGGCAGTGATGCTGTGCCAGCCACAAGCTCTCCTATTTCTTACTTGGACCAGCAGACTCTGACTCCAATCAGGAAGCCTCTTTACCGAGCCGTAAAAAGTATCAGTCTCTAAAAAGACAGAAAACCAGAGGAAGGCAACACTACACTACAAGAACTACCTAGTCCTGGCAGCGTTACGTAGCAGCTGCAGGCTAAAGGAAGCCAAAAGCTCAGAGTAAGCTTAGAGACTGCCGATATTAGAGGAAATAGGTAAAGTTCTGGGGCAAGAGGAGTCTGACTTGTTGATTCTTGTCATGAAATCTATAGCCACCAAACTTTTTCTGGAACACTAGCACTAAATGTTTTTTAAAAATCTCCCTTATGCTATTCTCCCCCAAGCAATTTGTTGTAAGTTTGCCTAGATGTTTAAGATACTTGAGACAGGTTAGCTTTCTTTCCCTGTAAAATCAGGGTCCCTAGTGTTTCTGATTGCCCTGAAACCAGATAATTGACTGAACATTCACGTCACAGGTACTGAAAAGTTACAAAACTGGGGGGGGGGCAGATTAGAAGGCTGCCAAAACACCTAGTGGGCAATCAGTTGAACTGGATATTTTAAATGTTTTTTTTACTAGCTTTACTGTTTTAAAATGTAAAAATTCCATGTCAAGTGGTCTGGGAGTCCCTGCTCGACCATCACGATTTTTGATGAAATTTTGTGTGAACGTGCACACATGTCCCCAATGAACATTGGTAAAGTGTTACATGTGCCAATGCAATACTTGCGGAGTAATAGTCATTTGTTGGACCCCATACAAAGTTGGCCAAAAATATTGCAGCTTGAAAAAGTTTGCCTTTTTATATCTCTGGAAGGAAAGGTATGATAAACGTGAAACTTTGTGCGTAATACAAGGTTTTCTAATATAAAATTTCATTCTCCTACTGATTTCCAATAGCTTACAAATTAAGTGCAAAATTGATGGTTTTTGTAAAAACGCCAAAAATAGGGTATAAAAAGGCAAATTTAACCTTTTTTTCAGCCGCAATATTTACGGCCAACTTTGTTCCCAATGAGCTAGATGGAGATCCCTCCTGAGAATGTTTTTATTATTTTGTTTAATAGAGCACAAAAAGTTGTACCAGATGGCCAAGTTTTGTTTCTCTCAACAAAATATTGCTGGAGATAGTATGTCTCAAAGTTGCTGGAATCTCAGACTCATACTGTAGAAGGCTGCAGTATGGGGTCCAACAAATGACTATTACTCCGCAAGTATTGCATTGGCACATGTAACACTTTACCAATGTGCATTGGGGACATGTGTGCACGTTCACACAAAATTTCATCAAAAATCGTGATGGTCGAGCAGGGACTCCC